GGAGTGAGTTTTCCAGCCATATCGGATTGGTTTGATCACCAGCTGCTGAGTGAGATGGTGAAATGTGGAGCCAGCGCCAGGTCGCTCTGTTCCCCCTGGTGTTGACGCTCTGACCTGCAGTCACTCTCAATTACTCACTGATGATGCTTTGCTGTGTGCTTCGTGGCATGTGGAGTGTGTGCGTCTTAGTGACAACGCCATGGTGAACGGTGGATAAAAGATAGAGCCATAACAAAACAAAATAACATACAAAAAACAGCTGCCTTTTTATAATAGTATCGAAGGTGGGATTGTGTCAGCTGTTAAAGTGTAGCACGCTGCTGGAAATATTAAAAGGGAACATTTACACTCGACATGAGACACGCTGGTTTCTCCCTCGCACAGGATGACATGCTCTGATGGAAAACTTGCCAGAAATCTTCACATTCTGACAATTGCTGCCTATATGCTGCTTCCTATGAATATGAGAGGCACTGCAGAGGGCTGTGATTCTCTAGCTCTGTCTCATCATAATCTATGGGTGCTTCTCTGTGTGATATGCCATACAAAATAGTAGAACAAATACTGATATTCAGCAAATGCGCCTACGGAGAGGCTGCAATCTGCACATGGCGTACGCCTACTTTTTGATCCAGTGTGACATAAATGCAGCGCTGCGGTCCCCCACACCCCATATGTGTCTTTAATGATAATGCAGAACAAGTCTCCCCATAGTGCAAGTCTTCAGAGACGCTATGGCTGCCGTTGCCAGGGAGCGAGAGGAACCGTATAAGAGCGGCACACACTCTGACAGGAGGCCATTTCCACACTGCATATCTGTTTAGTTGATGTAATCCCCAATACCCAGAACAGCTCAGGAGCAGCGACTGTTGGCTGCATACATTAGATGACACACTTTGACTTCAGGAGGGACTCCAGACGGAGCAGTAAATATGTGAGGCCTAGATACAGAGATAGCATTGCATTTCTTATGCAGCGCCACTGCCTGGCTTCTGATTAGGCAGATCGTGTAGAGAATTAAGAAGTAAGGCTTCCCTGAAGTCTCTCAGTCGTTAAATTAGTTCAAATAACCATAAGTTAAAAGTATTCATCAGTCGTGTCTGAA